TTATTTTTTTTTTCATTCATCCATCCTTTTTCATCCACTTATCCTTTACCGGGTCGCGGGGGCAGCAGTTTTCATGACTGCCACCTAAAGCACACTGCACCATACCAGCCCCTCGTGAACCTGCCGGTGGGTGGGGAGTCCACTAGGTGGCGCCAACCACCCTAACTGGGGTTCCACACCAATGACAGAGACATTGCCTCCGGGCCAAAGCGCCACATCTATATATTTATTTTTACATATGGATATCATATATCATGATCATTTTTTTCAGGAAAATTAAACCAAATTCAAAATAATTTGAAGGTTTTATTTGGTCTTTGATGAATAGAAAAAAAAGAAAAGCATATTATCATCAGTATTTATCCAATTTGGATTGTTGATGTTTCAGTATATAGACGTAACCCTCCAGTTGTCCTTTGTACATGTTTTTGTTGCATTTTGTACACACCCAGCGTTCTCGTAACGGGTTGAGAGTATGAGGAAAAGTGGGTACAAGCCGTGCAGTATAGGAGCACACATGCGTACACAAACACAAACACACAAAGGCATAATATCATCCACCTAGACCCAAAAGACAACGGGAGGGTTAAACCACAAATTTAAAAGGACTACAAAAAAATTTAAAAGTTATAAAAGTTTTTTCATACTCTGTTATGTTGTATAATTTCACGAACCTGATTTAAAGACGTAACATAAGACATAAATCAAGCAAACACTATTGGTGTTGGGTGTATTTGTGTAAAGGACCCAACACATTAAACACTTAACAGTAATAATCTTAACAGTGGCCTAACAATACTAACATTCTGAATGTAAAGTGACAAAACACAACAGAACTTACTTTGTCTTGCATTAAACCAGTGGTTCCCAAGGTAGGAGGTTCCAAAAGCCGTAAACCCCCAAAGGAGCTATGAAAAGAAAACCATACACAAACGGAAAAAAATGTTTGTAAACGGTATTTCAGCCTTAAATTGAGACAAACATTGTGTCTAAACTATGGAATGTTACCATTTCAACGTAAAATTAAATATTAAAGTATACGCACACATGTTTTTAAAACAAAAAGCAGTGAAAGGGGATAACCTGACTGAAACCAACTGCGTAGATGCTAATCATGCTAATGCGGCTTCCACGCTAACCGATACAAACTCACGCAAAGCTTTACAAATGAAGTAGGATAGTAACAGTAGTAAAATAAAGTACCGCTATTTATTTATTAACAATTAACGAAACAAAAAGATAACAAACCTTGCGCCTTGTGCTAAATAAGGAGATAATTTCCTTCTTTTTTTTTTACACCAGACAACCACATTCATGACTATATGACACACCTGGACATACTAACGGTCGGATTTGTTTTTTCCGTTCCGACTCCTTCAAAATAAAAGCCACGACATACATCGATACAATGATACTTACCCAACATGTCTTTAACATGTGGTGTAAAGACAAAGCCATTAAGTTTAGGAAGCTAAAAAATTGTGTTCTACTCAAACCATATTGATTCAATAAAGAGTTACAATACACCGAGAAAGGGTAAATGACATATGGAACCAAAAATAGAAAAAAATTCAACAAATTCTCAAAAGCCAATTTTATGACCTGTCCCTATCCATTAGTTTTGGCTTCCAAAACTTAAACGCTAAATCCCTGAACTTAACACAAAAAAATTGTTTTCTTCCCTGTATTTTTGAATAATATTATATTGATTGTTGACCATTCATTAACAACACATTGCATATTCAGATGGAGCAGTTGTTACCACCCACAGTTACTAATAAAAAACACATTGCATCCTGAATATTAATTAGCTGCGATTGTATTTTTAAACCTGACATTCTGTCCCTTAACAGACAGACCTGGAGGCCGCCTTTTGCTGTGGAGGCAGAAAGAAGGGCAGATGTTCATGAAATAAACCATAGAGCTAAAAACAAAAACAAAAACAGATGCCTATGGACCGTGGTGTATGGTGGTTTTTTCGTCTTTGTTTAATTCACTTGTTTGCTATTTCAAATGTGGTTATTAAGACTACTAAGGGCACCTACGGTTATTAATGCATGGATGCTACTGCTTTAGCAGACCAGTTTCTTTTTAACGAATCGTCAAATGAGTCTGAAATAGGTTCTGTGACTATTTCATATTTATTTAGCATATTTGCGAGCACTCTGTCATTTATCATCACGTGTGGCAATCTCCTCGTAATATTTTCTATCATTTATTTCAAACAGCTGCACAGTCCCACCAACTTCCTGATGGTCTCGCTGGCTGTGGCCGACCTGTTTGTAGGACTGTTTCTTTTGCCTTTCAGCATCACAATCTTTATGTCCTCAAACGTGTCCAGTCAGGATTTTCTCTGTAAATTAAGGAACAGTTTAGATATATTTCTGTGCAGCACTTCCATTTCTAGCTTGTGCTGCATTGCTGTGGACAGATATTATGCCGTGTGTCAGCCTCTGAGTTATAGGAGTAAAATCAATGTTCGTGTTGTTGGGATTATGATCTTGGTTTCCTGGAGTGTGGCTGCTTTCACCGGAATTGTTTTCACCTTTAGGGCACCGAACAAACAGGAAGAGAACGAAAGGTGCGCCTTATTCCAAAATAAAGCGCAAAATACTGTCGTTGTCGGTGCTGTTTTTTGTTTATTTGGCATCCCATCTATCCTGATGGTTGCCATTTACCTGAAGATTTTAGTGGTGGCGCAGAGACAGGCACGTAGCATTGTGAACACGTCAAAGTCGGGCGCGAATGTCAACAAAATGGAGAGAAAGGCGACTAAAACGCTGGCCATCGTAATGGGAGTTTTTCTGGTCAGTTGGACGCCATTTTTTCTCTGTGTCAGCTTTTACCCTGTAAGTAAATACAGCATACCGCTGCATGTTATTCAGTTGTCTAAGTGGCTGGGATGGTCGAACTCCATGTATAATCCATGTGTGTACGCGTTCTTTTACAAGCACTTCCGTTTGGCTTTTAGGATAATCATTACTGGAAACATTTTCCAGGGTGAATTTAAGCATTCGAAACTATTTTGACTTCGTATGTACATTTTGTGCATAACCAGATGTTGTTACAAAGTTTACATAATTGTGATACTGTACTTCTATAAATGTAACATTTTTCGTTTCAATTAATTCTGTCATTTAGTTGTACTGTACTATAAATGTAACATTTTACGTTTCAATTAATTCTGTCATTTAGTTGTTTTACTTACCCTTACCCTACCCTAGAAAATAAATAAATAATATCTGTATGCACGTATATCAGTATATATATATATATATCAGTATATATGAATGCTTCACCATTCTTGCTTCATTTAGGGAAATCCCATGCTATTACCATATTCTGGGGAGTATAAATACAGAAACAAAAAACTGTTAAAAGTTGAAAATGTTTATTGCTGCAGTGTTAGTGTGAGGAAAAGACAATGCTAAATAAAGTCATGCTGTAGAAAAGATCAATCGTGTCAGTAATCCATGATCTTGCAGAGGAACCAACACACAACACATACATTTACACCAGGACTGTCAAACATATGGCCCACGGGTCAAAACCGGCCCGCTAGGGGGTACAATCCGGCCCAGTAGGTGAATTGAAACTTTGTGTTGGTGATGTGTTGTCAACTTAAATTTCATTAAATATGAATATTCTCATATATACTTTTACTTATTTGCAGAACACAAATGGGGAAAACATGGACTTATTGTGATTCATAGGTAATTATGTGATGATTGTACTGGTCCGGCCCACTTGACATCGAATTAAGCTGTATGTGGCCCCTGAACCAAAAACAGTTTGATAGCCCTGATTTACACAGAAGCAAACGCATGTGCACAGACACAAAATAATTCATATTTTATGTTTTTCTAGTTGCAAAAATTCACCAAAAAGCCATTTTTCTATTGAAATGACAAAAAAACTTCATCGATTTCCATACGTGAAAGTTAGCTTGTTTGTCTTACAACCTCCTTTCGTGCCTCGCTCTGAACCTCACCAATGTGCTCTTGGAAGCGCCGTTCACACACATACAAGCTGTCGGTCATGATCAGAAAGCTTGTAAGGAGTGACAGGAAAACCTGTGTCAGATGATTAAGCATTGTGTCGATTGTGTCTCTGAACACTGTCTTTAAGACAAACAAATGAATACTTGCAAACAACTGTCAAATTAGGCTAGTTCACAGAGTAGTGCCAACAGGGAGGCCCAAACACTTACATCAGCATCACATAAACTCTTTAGTTCTGAAAGAGTACAGACATATTTGTAAGCCAATGGAAAAACTTTTGCAAATAAATCGATTTTCTTTTCTTAGTTTTCATTAACTAATGCTAGGTTAGTCCTCAGTTGGTTTAACTGGGAGCCTTAACCTTTATCCTGCATTGATCCTTAATTAATTCTCCAACGGATGAACAGTGTCAATGTCAACAAATAAAAAAAAATGCATAAAAATAACATCTGTTTCACAAAATTCTCTTTTAATCTACTAACACGAATGACTTACTGCGATCAGTGCAAACCATACTTAAGAGCGAAGGGTCACTAAGACTTTCACATTGAGTTACAAGTGCAAGTGGGCAACTCTGAAAAAATATAATTTATATTAAAATCTGTTTTAGGCACAAACAAAGCAGCATCACTTTTCATACATCGAGATAGAAGCAGCAGCAATTATCAGATGTTTGAAAAAAAAAGAATTAATTTCACACAGCTTATTCATATTATTGTTCCATTGATATTAAATATTCAGGTTCCTGATTCTGTATGTAATCAAAATAATTACACTATGTGTAAATGTGATGATTTTATGTGTTCATACTAACAAAAGACTCCGCTGCACCACTGTTGCTTGAGTTTGCAGCTTGTGAAACGTGATATACATCTAAGAGAAGAAAGGAACAGTGTGAGACAACAGTTATAAGTGAACAGGAAATGCAAATAAATAAATATGTATACGAAATAATAAGAACCTACTTCTTCTTCCAAATATTTGACCAATCACAGCTCTTCCACTCAATGAAGATATACCAGCACTCGTGCTCTAGAGCAGAAAATAAAAACAAAATATGAAGACATATACAGCCTATGTCTAGTGCAACGTTTCAATAACGTTAGCAACACAAAATGTAAATGAAGTATACTTACTCTTGTCGTTTGGGTGCCGGTTTCAGGCCGGTTGAATTTTCTTGCAAGAATAGAACGTATCTAAAAGGTACATAATGTAGTTCTATTAAGTACACTACTACCTTACAGGATTAGCAGATACTGCTACACAAGCCTAGAGTCCCCTCTAGTGGCTGCCAGGGTGAAAATAACGAAAATGGCCTTTTTCAGTGGTCCGGGAGTAGCAGATAATTGTACACAAGCCTATAGTGCCCTCTAGTGGCTGTCAGTGTGAAAATAACAAACATGTGAAATTATATATTTCAAACATATGTCGCACCTGAGTATAAGTAGCAAATCCAGCCAAAGGATGAATACAAATATGGTATATTAGCTGAGCACAACTACATTATTTAGAGAACGGTTAGTCCCTTGCAAAAAAGGGAGATTACCCTGTATCAAATATAGGTATAAAATTACAAATAAATAACTTTAGTGATATGCTATTTGGTAGTATTTCCCCAGCTATGTGTGTACTCAAATCTACCTACCCTTGAATCCAGTAGTGTTCCAAACACTAAAATGAAGAAACCCTGTGAAGAATAAGACCGACATGTTCAACAATTCATTATAATCAAGTTTTGTCATATGCACAAAACTACTGACTTGCATGCGTATTTACCTGTAATGAATTGAAGAATGCAAAGGCTATATGGATTCCTTTATTGGTTGACGAAATCATGGTTCCAACTCCCAAGGACCAGGTCAGTCCAAATAATGGAGTCAAGATGATGACACATCTTGCTATAACCACCAGTGTATGTTTCTCATCTGCAGGAGCGTTTTCTCCCAGACCTCTTCTAAGCATTTTGATTAAAACTACAATTACGATCAAAAAATTAATAAAAACTATGGCCAAGGCCGGTATCACCAGAGCCAGAAGGGCCTTTGTCTCGATCCAGTTCAGCCAACAAGCCTCATCTTTCCTGATGTATCCCTGCCCTGGTGCCGTGACAGCAACAGTAACTACAGCTATAATCAAAGGACAGCCATAGCCTAAAAGGAAGCCAATGGCCGTCATGACTGACTTGGACATGTATGAAAGGACCATGACTGTCCGGTAGAAGAGCAGAAGGCCCGACACAAGCATCCAGAAGAAAAGTGCAAGATAAAAAAAGTGCATAAAAAATGTTGCTGTGCTACATGGTCCAAGTGGAACCATGTAGTTCTCCCCCGGGTTCTCCAGCGGGTTGTTTGCGATTGATGCGCCGATGATGAAACAAATATTGGCGATCAAAAGGGACAGTGCGGTATTAATGATGGAAACGTGTCGCATGAAGGCAGTGCTGTTCCTGGTGATGGCTTTCCAAACGCAGCCTTCTATGAGCAAACAAATGACCAAGCTCGCCATTGATATTCCGACTCCAATATAAGTCATGATATCCAACAGCTCTCTTATTGACTCGGGGATATTTGTCGCCATTAGAAGTGAAAAGGAAGTCAGATGGTTGCAACTGCACGTCACTGTGTCATTTATGTCCGAAACAAAGACACATCCCTCATCATCCCAGGCGCCGTAGCTTTCGAAGAGTGTGAAATTCCAAAAGACGCACTGTGGGTTGAACGCCAAAGAGCTGTTCAACTTGTCGTAGCTCAGAAGAACGTTCTCGGCCGTTGCGTTAATTTTGATGAGCACGACGGCGGCGTTGATTGTATTAGAGTTGTCAATTTCAGTGTCGTTACTGGTCGCGTTTAATCTTCTGATGTCAAATGTAGAGTTTCTTGACGGCATTACATTATATAGTGTGCTGAGGAGAATGGTTGTAATGAAGACGTTGTGCGTGCTAACATTTGAAATATCCAAAAAGACGCTCGAGTTTAAGTCTGCCCTGAAGGTGTCGTTAAATCGGCT